TTCATGGAGTTGACCCACGAGCATCGCGGATGTTACATGGGCAGTGGTTTGCAGGTGGTGGGCTGCATCCTCGCGAAGGAAGGCATCGTTACCGCAACTTGGCTCCGCGATGAAAGCTAGCTTGCAGTGTGCCGCAGGGGGAATCTGTAGCCCCGAGCACCAAAGGATCTTCTTGACTCTCGCGGATTCTCCAGCCTGATGCTGGCTGCACAGAGTGGCTCTGCCGAGACGCCTCTTGGACTTGGCTTTGGCATCTGCAGTGGCTTCTTCTTCCCACTGCCAGAAGAGGTTTGAGAAGCTGCTGCCTGTGTCCCTGAGCGTGATCAACGCTCGCAATGACGAGGGCAAAACTGCCGGTGTCTCAGTCTCCTGTGAGCATCTGCGGATCCAGAGACCCAGCGAATCTGGAGGTGCTGATGATGCTGGCTGAGCGGGGTGGGCAGCTTGAGGGCCTCTGCTGGCAGAGTCTCTTCAACGCCATCTCGACTGTCTGAAAAGTGAGGTGCCCACTCGGAGAGCCCGGCACATCTCTGCCTCTGCGCCCTGCTGGAATTCGCTGGCAGACATGACAGGACATGAGAACGGTATTAATCTTGAAGTTTTGAAGTGTTGTTCAGTGTACATCTGAAGAAACAGGTGAACACGGTCTGAAAACTTGCAATTTTGGTTTAATTGCTTCCAGACTTTCGAGCCTTCTAGCTTCCCGAGAGGGATCTAAGCTGGGCTTCACTGTTGGACTTAAGCTGTTTGTGCATCTTTTGTGATCCAGTTTGCGGCCTGGTGATAAGGCTTCTGTAGGTGCTCACGCTTTGCAGGATCACACTGGACATCAATGCGCAGTGCTGCAACGGCAGAGCCCTGAATGCAACGGGCAGCGGCCTTCTTGCGTGTAGCGTGAGTTCTGGACCCAGCCAAGTCTTGCCCAAGTGAATCGAGGAATCTGGACTCTAGGCATCTCTAGACTCTGCGTTGCGCTAAGGAACGGCTTTGATGTGGGCCGTTGCCAGTGGCTGCCTTGCAAGCGTTGACTGCCTGATGGCCGGCTTCCGAGGAAGTTTTTCTCTCTGCGGCAACTTAATATCTGTATATATATATATATATACACACATTAAATATCATATCATATATATATATATATATATCATATATCTATCTATCTATCTATCTATCTATTTATCTATCTATCTATCTATCTATCTATCTATCTAGCTAACTATCTATCTATCTATATATATATATGATATTATATATATATATATATTATATACAGGCTTGTGGTCTCTTGCAGACTCGGAGAAGTGTTGCCTGTCCCAGGCCTTGAAGCCGGACATGGCCTGCCAGGACTTCATGAGAGTCCGAGAGGAAGAGAGTATGAGCCTCTTTTAACAGTCTGGTTTAGGGTTTAGGGTTTAGGGTTTAGCTGATATTGTGTATAGAGCCTCTTTTAATAGGGACTTAGTAACTAGGGTTATAAATAAGGTAACGATAATTATAAACCCCAATTAGGGTACCTAGAACCTTACTTACTAAGNNTAAGTCCCATGATCCTCTAAGTACAATAGCTGGTATTGTATAATGCAAAACACAAGGCTTGATAGCTTGCTGCGCAATATGAAGTATAATCTAGTAGAGCATAGTAGGATATTATACAGTATAACACGATGGAGAATGTCTAAAGTGTCATTTAACACCAAAAGGTCATATAGTATATTATGGTAAGATATGGTATAAGACAAGATAATGTACCATAGTGTAGTATAATATCACATAACATCTTGGATATTAGAACAGAGTAACAAATAACATCATACATTAACGCACAAGAAAATGTGATACAATACAACAGAATGCAGTGTAATATAACATAGTACAATATAATACAACAATGTACCAGATAGCAGAATATATCATGAAAAGCCGAAGGTAATATAATGTAATATACTAAAACATAGCAGAAATACTATAGTACAGTACAAAATGAGGTTTAATATGGCGAGGGGAGGGGGGAGGGAGGGGGGGGGAGCTGAGCAGGGGGGTAGAGGGC